CCCTGGCCCCCAAGCCTGTTGTAGCCTGCCTCAGGCCCCGTAGCCTTGACGGCAGTCAGCACCCTCCCCTGGGCCTCATTGCTTCTGAGAGTCAGCAGCTAGGAGAAACATTTCATTTTGGTTTTGTTTGTGTTTTTGAACTGGGGTGTTACTCTGTAGCCAAGGTGTCCTGGGAACCCACTATGCAGTCCAGGCTGACTTTAGACTTGTGGTAATCCTCCTGCGCCTCACCTCCCAAGTAGGATTACTTTGGTATTTATTTATTTTGACTTTTTAAGACAGGGTTTCACTATGTGGCCCAGTCTGGCTTTGCACTCGTGGCAATCCCCCTGCCTCAGCCTCCCAGGCATTGAGATTCCAGGTGTGCGTCATTTTTTGCAGTCATGGACCTAATATGTGCCAGGCAAGCTCTGTCCCTCACAGCCACAACTCTATCCTGCAGTACCTGGGGCGAGTTTTGCAGTAAGAGCCAAGGGCCCCCAGACTCTGGGGACGACACAGGAGAGGCCTGTGGTCATCCCGCTGCAGAGAGAGCAATGACTATGGCCAAAGTTCTAGAACCAGGCACAGTTTTACCCTGGGATCCTGACCTGGCTGCTCTCACTACTGTGGAACTAACAGGGAAAGAAGCAGAAACAGAGAGCTACTCTACTGGAGTGAAGGCAAACCTGGGGCTGCGGGAAGTAGTGGCCACCCTCACCCTGATCCACTGGGGACAGGGTTATTTTTAGAGAGAGCTTCTCCGCAGTGTCTACAGAGTCCAAGGCCCAGGCACTGGGACGGGGGGGGGGGGGCCAGGCAGCAGGTGTTGGGGGGGCCACCACGTGCCCGGGTTAATTATAGCCAGGCATCTCGGGTGTCCCCAGGCCTTGCCTCCATACATGGGCAACCTAGACCCCTGGAGGCTGCTCCATCCCCGGGGAAAGGCAGGCTGGGTGGTCCCTGAACTGTGGAGGGCAGACTGGAACAGGACAGAGTATGACAGGAGTTTCCACCTCAGCTGTGACCAAGGACCTCAGCGACTGAGCAGGGGACGCGTGGAAGCTTCTGGGAGGCACCGGGATTGCAGGGACTGGACCTCTTTCTTCAGGATTGCCTCAGACTCCTTCTTTGGATTCCTGCTCGGTGGCTAGCGTGGTTTCACCCCCATCCTTTCCCATTTCTGGCCTGGCTAGCAAGGGTAGCCTGCTCTGGGGGGCAGAGAAGGGAAGAAGTGCTTAAAAATGTACTTGGGGTTCAACCTCTGGCCCTGGCACCCCATGTTCCTTGCCAGTCATGGTAGATGGGCAAAGGCTGGAAGAACTGAAAGAAACCAGGTTTCAAGAGTTTGAGGCCAGCTTGGTCTACTGAGCGAGTTCCAGGACAGCCTGGGCCACACAGAGAAACCCTGTCTCAAAACAACAACAACAAAATGCCTAAGTTTATTGAACACTTACTGGGAAAACAGAGGGTACGTGATGTGAAATCCTAACCTCCTGACTAGTACGAACAGGTCAATAGACCTTTGAAGGGTAACCGATAACAGTGCTGTTTCAGATGAGGTAAATCAAGGCAGGCCTCTGAGGAGGAAATGTGACATCTCGTGTGGAAAGCCAGCTATGGAGGGAGGGAGCTGAGGGAAGAGCAGGTGCCAAGGTCCTGAGGCAGGAGCACTGAGGGAGACAGGAATGGACACCGTCGGGGAAGGGATGGCTGGGAAGAGTCTCTGCTGTCTGTTTGCACCTGATGGTAACCCGTGAAGGCTATAGGCAGAGAGGTGGGCTCTGGCCATCCCACACACTCCAGGCCCCTGAGGACCCCTTACCGGACATTCAACTTTTTGTTTGTTTGTTTGTTTTTTGAGACAGGGTTTCTCTATAGCTTTGGGGACTGTCCTGGAACTAGCTCTTGTAGACCAGGCTGGCCTCGAACTCACAGAGATCCACCTGCCTCTGCCTCCCGAATGCTGGGATTAAAGTCGTGCACCACCACTTCTTGGCGACATTTTTTTTAATTAAAAGGATTACATGCCTCTGTTTGTTTGTTTGTCTCTGAGGGCGAGCGGGGAGGGACACCGTGGAAGTCGGAGGACAATTCCTGGTAGTCGGTTCCTTCTTTTGCTCTGTGGGTCATGGGAATTGAACTCAGGTTGTCAAGTTTGGCTGCCAGTGCCTTTACTGCGGAGCCATCTTGCCAGCCCTCAGCATTCTTGTTGGCTACATGTAGATTTCTGTGTTGGGAGGTGGAGGGGTAGGCTCCGGGATATCCTGGGGTTCCGTATCACCTGTCTTTTGAGATGCTCTGAGTGTTTACACAGTACTCAGTCAACACTCTCACCGGTAAAGCCCAGAGAGGTTAAGCAAACAGCCCAAGAGCAAACAGCTAGGAAGGGGTAAAACTGCCTACCAGAGGGACACAGGGCAGCCCAGAGGGTGGAGAGCTTTGGTGAAAATGATGTCCTGGTCTCTCGGTATCATCAGGCTGTGTCCCTAGTCCTTAGTCCCTCACAACTGGTCATGTCCACCCTCCCTGTGTTAGGGCCTGAGGGTTAGTGGGTGGAACTGGGATTGGTCAAGAGCTGGAAGTTTTGAGAAGGTTGGGGGCCCAGGCTGTCCTGACCCCACAGAGACCGTCCTGCCTCAGTTTCCAGAGCAATACCGCCATAGGCAGGAGCCACCACACTGTATTTTGTTTGCTAGCGGTTTTGAGGTCTTGCTTCCATGTAGCCCAGGCTAGCTTAGAACTCCCAGACAGTCATCCTATCTCAGTCTCCTAGTTGCTGGGATTACAGACATGAACGACCTTCTCATCTGAGCCTCAGTTTCCCCATCTTCACATGACCCTGGCCAGGGAGCCCACCTTGGAGTATGGCTGTGTGATCCTGAGAAGTCACCCAGCCTCTCTGTGCCTCATCTTTACAGTGGGAAGAGTGGACGGAAGCAATTTGCACAGAGGATTTGGCACAGGCCCTTGTTTGGGGGTGCAGCTGGGACGGAGGCCGCCCTGACAATGCCTCCCTGGAGGTTTGCTTCTAATCTTTATCCCTGTAATCCCCCATGCTGCTTTGTGCGGGTAAGGAAACAGGTCATGTGGCGAGAAGGCGGCCAGATTAGGATGTGGACACAAATCTACCCAACCCGATTTGTAGGGGAGTCACTTCTCTCCTTCCGCCAGATGGGTCCCAGGGTCAGGCTGGGCAGCAAACCGTTTAGTGGCTGAGCCATTTCACCCACCCCATTCAAAGACCTTTGGAGGAGCTGCTTACAACAGCGTCTGAAAAGTAGGTTTCCTCTCCAAGTCTGGTTCTGTAAACTAGGAACAGGAGACCAGAGATGGGGTGTATGCCAGCAGATGACACTTCTGGGGTCTGCATCTACTTCATGATGACCGTGGGACAGATCCATTGTGGAGCTTAGCTGCCTCTTCAGTCCTGGGCCCTGGAAATAACTAGAAACGCCACAAGATGAGTTTGGATTTATGTCAATTACACTCAGGTTTCAGAACGTTGCCCTGCGTTCCGTACTCACAGTTTTAATGTGACAGACACCTGTCCACCGGAGTGTGCAGGGGTGAAAACGCTGGAGGTCACGAGGCTGCGAGTCCCAGGAGGGGGTTCGCAGAGGGCTTCCTGAGGGAGGACCCCTTGGCCTGGGCTCCGGCGGATGGCGCACCGTGGGCTGCTCCGTGGACCCGCAGCGCCATCTGGCGGCATCGTCGCGCACTGCATGGGGCCTTTCGTGACGGTTCTAACCCGAGGGGCTCAGTCACCCTGCAAATATGGGCACCTAAGTCGTGTCAATGCAGTCTTGCCCTTGAGAAAAGCAAGAGAGAGACAAGGCGCCTGTTGTAGAATATTATAGACTCAAGAACCAACATTAAGGGATTCTTAGCTGCTGGACCCTGAGAAGCGTGGCATGGGGGCATGGGCTTGCATTCCCAACTCTTCAGAGGCTGAGGCAGGAGGATTGTGAATTTGAGCTCAGCCTGAGATTTATAGACTCTGTGACCACAAATAAAACAAAGATAACTTAGGGTATAGTGGCTGTAAGCCCAGCACCAAAGGGAACCAAGGCAGGAGGATGGCCATGACTGTGAGGCCAGACTGGGGTACATAGTGAGACCCTATCTCAAAAAGGGGCGAGATTGAAAATAAAATTAAAAATTGCAGGGTGGCGCTGGCGCGCGTCTTTAATACCAACACTCAGGAAGCAGAGGCAGGCGGATCTCTGTGAGTTCGAGGCCAGCCTGGTCTACAAAGCGAGTTCCAGGACAGCCAGGGCTACACAGAGAAACCCTGCCTCAAAAAACAAACAAACAAACAAAACAGACAACAAGAACCTCTGTGTGTCTGTATGTATGCACAAATGCCCGTGTGTGGGTGCACATGCGCCATGAATGCATGTGGAGCTCAGAGAACAACTTCCGGGAGTCGGTTCTCTCCTTGCCCCATGTGGGTCTTGGAGATGAACACCAGGATGTCAAGCATGGAGCCAGGACCTTTACCAAGTTCTGAGGTTGTAATTATAAAAACAATATTTTTAGAGATTCTATCTTTATTGGGTGTTTTGCCCGCATGTCTGTGTGTCTGTGTGTGGGGAGGCCCTGGAAGAGGTTGGGACTGGAGTCAAACCGGAACCGTTTGAGCCGTCATGAGGATGCTGGGAACCGAGCACGGATCCTCTGCCAGAGCAACAAGTGCTCTCACCTGCGGAGCCATCTCTCCAACTCTTCAAATATATAAATAAATTACATGTGTATGTATTTATTTCGTATGCGTGCATGTACGATTGTACACATGTGGAAGTCGAAAGACAACTTCTGGGTCGCCTTCCACCGTGAGGGTCCCAGGGATCGAACTCAGGTCCTCAGGCTTGGTGGCAAGCACCTCTACGGCCTGAGCCCGCTCTCAGTCCCCAAATAAAGTTTTGAAAAGTGCTGTTTCTCAGTGGGCGGCGGCGGCGGCGGGCGTGACCAGCGCACCTGTGCGGGCGTGGCCTCTTCATGACCCGCCCTCCCGAAGAGTCGCCGGGACCGGCGTTTCCGTGCAGCGAGGGGGTTCGGATTTGCAGCCGCCAGGTGGGTGCGAGGGGTCGGCGGCAGCCGCGGCGGGGTCCCTGAGGGGGCCGCGGGGATGGAGAGGGGGCTGCAGGCCTGGCGTCGGGGGATGAGCTTCGGGGTCCCTGAGGGCCCTGCCCCGCCCCGACCAGCCGGCTAGGAAAACAGCTGGGGGCGGGGCGGGGCCTTGTGACGCGGAGTCGGGTTTGGGGGTCCCCCGCAGCCGCGGGGAGGAGCTGGCCGGGCTCTCGGAGGGTCGCCGGGTTGTCAGAAGGTCTCTGGCTGCAGCCTGCGAGTGCAAGCCATGCATGGTAAGGGACCCTCTGCGGCATGTGCAAAAGAGTGTGTCAGGTAGACGTGGCGCACTGGAGAAACTGAGGCAGAAGGAGCGGAGTTGGAGGCTAGTCTGGGCTACGTAGTGAGGCCCTTTCTGAAGAGCGAGAGACAGAAGGACAGATTATGGGTACCAGTGTCAGAGAGAGAGAGAGAGGAAAAAGAAAAGGAAAAAGAGCCAGCGGGTTAAAGGTGCTTGACTTCTTAAGTCTGATCTCCAGGATCACAAGGTGGGAGGAAAGAACTGACTCCCTCAAGTTGCAAGTTGCCCTCTGACGTTCCATGCACGTCTGTACACACAAAAAGCATACAAAGGAAAAAAAGTGTGAAAGACCAGGCATCATGATGCTCACAAGGCAGCCGAATCCCAGAAGTTGTCTTTTGACTGTAATCATAACACTCGAAAACAGAGACTGGTGGATCTCTGGGCTCAAGGCCAACCTGGGCAACACAGTCAATCCCAGGCCAGTGGGGCTGCATAGAGAGACCCTGACTATACATATACACATAAATATTTTTGTTGTTGTTGTTGTTTGAGACAGGGTGTCTCTGCATAACCCTGCTGTCCTGGAACTCTTGAACCCAAGTGCTGGAGTTAAAGCTGCATGCCACCACTGCCCAAATTATATATAATTTTTTAATAAGGAAGAGAGTCAGATTGTGGGTACAAGTGTAAAAGGGAGATGAGCTACTAAGCCATCCGATGATGGGGACAGACGGAGTGAATGTGGGTGACCCTGATTGTGTGTCTGTCCTATGTGTGTTAGGTGTGGACTGTACACACTCCTTAGTGTGTGTGACTGTGATGCTGGGTCCATGGTCAGCTCTGTGCTTGTGGCTGACTTATGCGTGTGGCAGGGAGTGAATCTCTTATGGTGTTGGATCTAGGTGTTGCATGGGGGAGGGGGGTGGAGTGTGTGGAATTGTGTCAGTGATATGTGACTGTCACAGACTGACTGTTGTCACTCTGGTTGTGTGTCCCTGATACAGAGGTGTGGGGGCATGCGTGTGACTGTGCCTGCAAGCTGGGGGTTTGCATAGGTGGTGTGTGTATGTGTGTGCATGCTGCTGCCTGCTTTATGGACCAACAGGAGTGCAGCCAGAAGCTCACTTGTGGCTATGGAGTGTGTGTGTGGGAGCAAGTGGTTGTGCAGTGTGGCCAAGATGCTCCTCTGTAGGGTTATGGCCATGGAAGGCTGGCCGTGGTTATCACTGGGCTGGCTCTGCACTTCTGTTAAGACTGTGTGTGGTGCTCCTGGCAGTCCTGGGGACAGCCCGAGTGGCAGATGGCTGTGGCTAAGCTGCGGCTGTCCCTGTGGTTGTTGTGTGGGTATCTGGCTGTGGTGTGGGGGAGGCTGCATCTGGGACTTCAGACTCAGCTGGGTTTGAGATTGTGCCATGGGATGGGAAGTGTGACATTGGCCATGCTGGGGGCCACAGAGACTGACCACTTCTGTGGCTTTTGAGGATGCACCTACATGGGTTCCACACACACCTGTGATATTTTTGTTTGTTTTGGTTTTTCGAGTCAGGGTTTCTTTGTGTAGCCCTGGCTGTCCTGGAAGTAGCTCTGTAGACCAGGCTGGCCTCGAACTTTTAGAATTAGGATTTTGACATTAAACGCTTTGAAAATGACACCCACCGAGTAGAAACTGTACTTTATGTTTAAAGTTTGGTCTCTTTCTGGGCGAATTCTGCAGCTGCTTGCGAGGCTGAGACATGGAAAAGGCTGTTTTTGGCAGGGCCAGGATCACCAGAGGAAACTGGCGTCAGGGTGGGGACTCACTGTGTGGCAGAGGATTGTCTCTTTTAAATTATATGCATCGGGCCGGGCGGTGGTGGAGCACGCCTTTAATTCCAGCACTTGGGAGGCAGAGGCAGGAGGATCTCTGTGAGTTTGAGGCCAGCCGGAGTACATAGTAATTTTGAGGGCATCTTGAGCCACCTGAGACCCTGTATAAAAACAGAGCCCTAGATTGGTGCTGTCTGCCTGTAACCAGCACTCGGGAGGTGGAGGCAGGAAGGTTTAGCCAAAGATGGCTTTGAACCCTTGACCTTCTGCCTCTGGAGAGCCCAGATCTCAGGTCTGCAACACAAGCCCGTCCCTCAACTTTTTTTTTTCCCTTTTGGTACAAGGGATGGAAGCCAGGGCCTTGGCTATGCTTGGCTGGCTGTGTCCCCAGCATCCACCTTTTCTTTTAAGATTTATTTTTATTTTATGTACATGAGTATTTTTCTGCATGCATGCATGTGTACCATATGTTCAAATGTATGCAATGCCCATGGAGGCCAGGAGAGGGTGAGATCCCCTGTTCAGGTTGGGAGCCACTGTATGCCTTATGGGTGCAGGACCTCTGCAATAGCAACAGGGGCTCGCAACCACCCAGCCATCTCTCTAGTTTTTTTTTTTTCTTTTCTTAAGATTTTATTTATTTCATGTATATGAATGTTCTGGCTGCATGTTTGCATTTATGATAGAAGCGGGCATCAGAGCCCACTAGAGGTGGTTGTGAGCCACCATGTGGGTACTAGGACTTGAACTCAGGACGTCTGGAAGAGTAGCAGGTGCTCTTAACCACTGAGCCATGTCTCCAGTTCCTAGTTTTTCTTTTTTTAAAACAGAGTTCATGGATTCTCAGCCTCTAGTGCCAGACTTACGGGTGTATGCTGCCATGCCTGACTCTGAGCTGTGTTCCGAAAAGGAGAAAGTGTGGTGTGTTTTCTGTGATGGGAATGTATATTGTGCTGTATTTCTCTCCCGTTGTTTCTTTTCCTATGTTGTCTTTCTAATGAGGTAATACATGTCGGCGTGTTTGTTTAGAGAGGGCGTGGGGGTGTGCGAAAAGGGAGCGTGCATTGAGCTGTGTCTGAGATGGGAGTCTGTCTGCCATTGTGTCTTTAGACAGAAGGACCTGGGATGGGACTCGGTTGATTTGAATGTTTGCCTAGCTTGCCCTCCCTGGGTGTGCATAGCATGTCAGGGACTGGTTCATCCCCAGGACCCCGTACGTGGAGTGCGGTGGTTCATGTTGTTTAAGGTCGTCTTCAATTATATAGCAAGGTCAAGACCAGTCTGGGCACATAAGACCCAACCTTAAAAAAATTAAAAAAAAAAAAAAAAAGGCTAGGTGTGGCGGCACATCCCTCTAATCCTGGCCTCTGGAGACAGGGAAGGATGGGTTTCTGTGAGTTCTAGCCTAGTCCGGGATACATAGTGAGACCCTGTCAAAAAAAAAAAAGTAAATAAAAAAAATAAATAAGGATGAGAAAGAGTTTTGTGTTTGCTGAGGTGTGTTTGAGTAGTGTACGTCTGTGAGATTCACCGTCTCTGCCCCTGACTTGGTTTCCGGCATATACACACAAAACCCCACTTAGCGGACCCTCACCCCTTAACCAGCCGAGGTGGCCACTGCCATCAGTGAGGCATGGCACAGGTGTGTCTCATCCACCCCTGGGCTGTGGAGCTTGGCTGCTGGGGTTGGGACCCTGGTCCTGGTCCCTCAAGGTCTTGCCAAGCTCAGGAGCCAACTTTGAGGTCCCTCTTAGACACCCCACCCCATCCCACCTCCAGGCTCCCTGCTTTCAGGGCTCCATCCCTCATCCCTCCTCCCCTCTGCCCCCCCCCTCAGTGGCCTGACTGGTTCCTGACAAAAACACCCTAAGAATGAGCTCACCAGGAGCCTGCCGCCTCCACATGCCCCGCCCCCAGCCTGGCAGAGGTGGCGCCTCCGGTCCCAGGGCGCTTAGCAGGCTGGGAGCTCTGAGCTAGGGTGTCTGGGGACCTGGGTGGGGGGCCGGGCCAGGTGAGCGGAGGGAGGCGGGGTGGAGGGGCACTGGAAACCAGCTGTTAGTATTCTCAGCTAATTAGGCCCAGTTTAGGGTTGTCCTCAGGGTAGAGCTCTGGGTTTGCAAAGGTAGAGGAGAATGTTCCCCAACGAAGACTGCCTGGGATGGAAAGGGCTCAGGAAGGGAGCTAGCTAGGATGGGTGGGCAGGGGGATGGCAGGAACGAAGAGAAGCTGTGAGTCTGTGTGGCTCAGACCGTGACTCCCTCAACCTCACCGCCCCCAGGAGCAGCCATGTCTGTGCAGGTGGCAGCCCCCGGAAGCACAGGGATGGGCCCAGAGCGCCTGAACCCCGAGGAACTGGTGCGGCAGACACGACAGGTAGTACAGGGGCTGGAGGCCCTGCGGGCAGAGCACTACAGTCTAGCTGGGCACTTGGCGGAGGCTCTGGCTGGACCGGGGCCTGTGGCTGGAGGGGAACTGCTGGAGGAGAAGCAACAGGTTGTGAACCACTCGCTGGAGGCCATCGAGCTGGGGTTGGGCGAGGCCCAGGTATGTGGGACCACGAGGGGCTTGAGAGGGAGAAGGACCAGGGATGAGGGGTGTGTGTGTGTGTCATGGTGGGGAGGCTCAGGAGGCCCAGGGATGAGAAGTGTCTGTCTGTCTGTCTGTCTCTCTGTATGTGTATATAGGGTCAGGCCTGGTGGGGGAGGCCCAGAGATGAGGGATCATAATGTAAAGTAAGTATAGGTAGTAGGAGGTCTGGAGGAGCCAGGCAGCACATCAGAGTGCTTCCCTGACAAGCATTAGGAATGAGATTTTAGTGTGTGCCATATGTGGTTCTCCTGTAGAACTTGGTTCTGGAGGGAGTTTGGGGTTTCCATTATGAATGGAACCCTGAGATTCACTCATGGTAGGCAGGGGCTCTATCACTGAGCCACGTCCCCAGTCCCTCACTGGAGGGTTCTAGGCAGGGGCTCTACCACAGAGCCACACCCCAGCCCCTCACTGGGGGACTCTAGGCAGGGGCTCTACCACTGAACTATACCCCTGTTATTTACAGATGACTTTTAGACAGGTGCTGGGTTAAATAGACGGAACAGGAATTAACCCTATGCATAATTTGATTGAAATCAGGGGGTGCTGGAAAACTCCTGTTTTCAGAGCCACACTGGACTGTCTTCAGAATCTGGGGGACCTGTGTAGAATGTAGAGCCGGGCCTGGGGTTGGGGCTATACAGGGGTGCACCTAGCACCCACTCCTCATTATCCCAATGCTTTGCAGGTGCTGCTGGCCCTGTCCGCACATGTGGGTGTGCTAGAGGCTGAGAAGCAGAGGCTGCGGGCGCAGGCGCGGAGGCTAGCCCAAGAGAACACCTGGCTTCGAGAGGAGCTGGAGGAAACACAGAGGCGACTGCGGGCCAGTGAGGAGGCTGTGGCCCAGCTAGAGGAGGAGAAGAGCCACCTCCAGTTCCTGGGTCAGCTGCGGCAGTATGACCCACCCGAGGAGAGCCAGGTACCAGGGGTGGGTGAGGGGGGTACACAGCCCTTCCCAGAACCCCTGGAGACCCTCAGGCCTTTCTTAGTACCCCATAACCTTTCACGTATATGTGGGATCCCCAAATCCAAAGTCCCCTCAATGCTCCTGTAAGATCCTGTGTCTTCCCCAGCTCAACTGTAATCTCTAAGACTCCCGGCCCACACATCTTTCAAACTCAGAGCTAGTGTGGCTGAGGCTGGAAGGAGGAGGTTATGAGTTTGAGGTCAGCCTGGGCTACATAGTGAGACTCTCCTGAAGCTTGGCATGGTGGCAGGCCTTTAATCCCAGCACTCTGGGGGCAGAGGCAGGTGCATCTCTTTGAGTTCAAGGTCAGCCTGGTCTACAGTGAGCCCCTGCCCTAAACAACAGAGCTACACAGGCAGGCCTGAAGTAGCTTCAGGGCACTGACACTTGCTGTTCTGGGAACTACTCTTTCCTCTTCCCCACAGAGGCCGGAGTCCCCCCCTCGCAGAGACAGCCTGGCTTCTCTGTTCCCCAGTGAAGAGGAGGAAAGGAAAGGTGGGTGTGTGGGAGCCCTGGGCACAATATCAGAGGGAAGTCACCCAAGACCACAGGCTAAGCCTGGGGCAGGAGCCTTGACCTAAGGGATGCCAAGGCCTCTGAGCAGGGCATGGGGAGGGGAGGGCAGGGTCTGGAAGATGAAGCAGATGGCTCTGGTTAGCAGAGAGGCTGGAAGCTGGGAAGTTAGGTAGGTTCAGTTCTGGCACCTAACATCCCACCAGCCAGTTAAGAGTCCTGTAATCCCCATGTCTTGCACAAGGCCCTAGTGCAAGAGGTGACAGTGGGGTGCAGGCTAAGGCCGCAGTGGGGGATTCCACACCACCTCCCCCAGGTCCCGAGGCAGCTGGAGCTGCAGCTGCGCAACAAGGTGGTTATGAGATCCCAGCTCGCCTGCGGACCCTGCACAACCTGGTGATCCAGTATGCTGGCCAGGGCCGCTACGAGGTGGCAGTACCACTATGTCGTCAGGCCTTGGAGGACCTGGAGCGGAGCTCGGGCCACTGCCACCCTGACGTGGCCACTATGCTTAACATCCTGGCACTGGTATACAGGTGAGGGTTGTGGCTGGTTGGAGAGGCCCCATCTGCAGTGGTGGGGTACACTGACGATCCTGACAGAATGGGGAAGGCACAGGGTAACAAAAGGAACAGAGATCTGGACAGGTGGCAAGACTCAGAGTCTGGGTACCGGGGCAAGCCAGGGACGTGAGACCGACGCGTGGCAGAAATGGCAGTGTGGGGACCTGTGCTCAAGGCCTGGGACACGTGGGAAGACGAGGAGACCCCTGAAAGATGCCAGGCAGTCCTGGCTCAGTCCAGCTGGTGACCCCAACTTAACCCAGCCTTCAATTCCTGTTCTGCAGGGACCAGAACAAGTACAAGGAGGCCACGGACCTTCTTCACGACGCCCTACAAATCCGGGAGCAGACGCTAGGGCCTGAACACCCTGCAGTGAGCAGCAATTCAGGGAGGGAAGGCTTGGGGGTGGGGGGGCTGCACAGGCCCTCTGCCTCGGCTAACTTTCCCCCTGCAGGTGGCCGCCACCCTCAACAACCTGGCTGTCCTCTATGGGAAACGCGGACGTTACCGGGAGGCAGAGCCCTTGTGCCAGCGTGCCCTGGAGATCCGTGAGAAGGTGCTGCACCCAGCCCTTTGCCCTGTCACTGGTTCCACAAGCCATTTGGTGCATTTGGTGGCAATTTCTCCCATTTGAGCCCAGAGTACCCAATCCCAATCTGTCACCCTGATGAGTTTAAGTGCCATCCTAACTTTGACCTCCTGACCTACCTAATATTCTAAGCTGATTTGTTAGACTCTGCACCCCATGACCTCTGACATGGCTAATTCCCACTTGCCATGTTACCCTGTGACATATCATGGGCCACCCTACGTGACATAAGGTTTGTGTGCATCCCAGGTCCTCGGTGCCGACCACCCTGATGTGGCCAAGCAACTCAACAACCTGGCCTTGCTCTGCCAGAACCAGGGCAAGTTCCAGGATGTGGAGAGGCACTACGCGCGGGCCCTGAGCATCTATGAGGCCCTGGGGGGGCCGCAAGACCCCAATGTGGCCAAGACCAAGAACAACCTGGTGAGGCATTGGTGGGTTCTGTCCAGGGAGCACTGTGGATAGGGGGACCTCATACTGCTGCAGGTCCTTCAGTACAGAAAAACAGGAGAAACCCAGTTCACAGGAGCCTGTGTCAGGCTTTATTGTCATAGCGGATGCCCCTAACACTTCACACACTGAAGTAGGAGGACCAAGGCACAGGGTGGAGCAGGGAGGGTTCTGGTGTGGTGTCTGCTCTGTAGTCAGCTGAGGCAGGATGCTGGGGAAGGCGGGCAGGTCTGAGAAGTTCCCAGGCCTAAGCAAGATGCCCACGCCCTGCCCCTGCCCTCCCCGCAGGCCTCAGCCTACCTGAAACAGAACAAGTACCAGCAGGCAGAGGAGCTGTACAAGGAGATCCTCAGCCAGGAGGCCCTGCCTGCCCCACTTGGTGAGACCACCCCACTGCTCCTGCCTACCCTCCTGCGTGGCGCTTGTTACCCCACTACCATGTCCCTCTGTTCCACAGGCGCCCCCCAAGCAGGCACAGCAGGTGATGCACAGCAGCAGGTATGCAGGCTCCACCCTGGGTCCTTGTGGGCCGGGTCTGGGTGGGCCCACCATGTTCCCACGTGTCACTGTGTCATCCCCAGGTCCTGCGCAGAAGCAGCTCCTTCTCCAAGCTCCGAGAGTCCATCCGGCGGGGTAGTGAGAAGCTGGTTTCCCGCCTCCGAGGGGAGGGCTTGGCAGGGGCTGCAGGGTGAGTGCTGGGTGAGGTCAGCAGCCTGTCAGCCTTCTGGGGCGCCTGTCTGTGAGAGCCAAGGCCCTGCAGTCCTTCTTGACTCACTCTTCTCCTCTCATCCTCTGAAGGATGAAGAGAGCCATGTCACTCAACATGCTGAACGTGGATGGTCCAAGGGCTGCCAGGACGCAGGTGAGGGGCCAGTGATGGAGCAGGGTGCTGCGGGCAGGCTCAACAAGACAGAAAAGGTGGGGCTCCCTCCTGGGGACTCAGGATAGGGGGAGTGGGTAGGGGTATGACGTGGCCCCAGTGTTAATGGAAAGGAGCTCTGACCACTCCTGTGCCTGCCCCCAGCTCTCAACCCGGCACTTGAATGAGGCCTCTCGGACCCTCAGCGCCAGCACCCAGGACTTGAGCCCGCGCTAAGTGGACTGGCTGCAGTGGCCACAGCTGCTCAGGAATCAGGGAAGGGCGGGCCGGTGGTTATCTGGTGCCCTGCCTTGGTGGCACTTGTGGATCAGGACCCTGCTATCCTCCCTGTAATTAAAGGCTGTACACGGGTCTGGATATTCGCCTGAGGGTCCTGGGACCTCCAGCACCTCCTGTGGAGAAACGGGTGTCACCCACAGTCCTGTGCTCAGAGCTGCTGCGCGATCTGCTCGATCCGCTGTAGTGTCTCCTCTGACTGCAGCTGCTCCAGACTGAGCAGTGACAGGCCCAGCTGATCTTCCTGGAGGGACAGAGGTAAAGGACAGGTGTCAAACAGCACATATCAACATGACCCTGGTTGTCCGGTGACTGGAGTGCATGGCCACACTAGGAAGAGGACATTAGGGCTCCATCAGTGTCCCCAGGCTGTCCACTCTCCCTTCCTTCCTGGCTATGGTGACCCTGAGGTGACTAGGAAAAACACATGCACCTGGGAGGGAGGGAGAAGAGGTACGGGGCCAAGGGCTCACCCTGTGGAAGGGCTGTGCCATCTGCCGCAGGAAGTACTTGGCGACCTGCACACCCTCGTCCACCGTCAGGTTGAGGTTGGAGTCAGTCAGGTGCTCCTGGATCCATCGAGGCAGCTTGCCACGCTTGTCGGCCCGAGCAAACCGCTGTGAGGAGGGAGGGGACAGCAAACCCAGGTTGGAATCCAGGCTGCCCACCACCCTGTCCCTGTGATGAAGTGGGATTGGCTAGGCTGGGGCGCCCAGAAGCGCCCTGAGCTCCACCTTGTCAGCAAAGACCATGAGACCGTAGTCTGTCTTGCCCCTGATGGCACGACCCACACACTGGGCTGCATGGCGCATGGCATCAAAGGTGAGAAAGTCATTCTCGCGGATCTGGAACTGGTCCCGCAGGTACTCTAGTCGGGCCTGGGGGATGAGGGAGGAGTCTAAGGTAGGGAGCTAGCTTTTCCCATGTACGGTGCCCCCCTCCTGACTCCACTCCTCAACTCACCTTGAGAATTCGGCTCTGGGTGTAGACATAGGGGACTCCAAACATGATGACAGCCCGCCCGTAGTGATGCACTGGGGAGGACAGCAGGGTCACAGTGCATCCCGGCTGGTGCTGGGTGTGCTGAGGGCCGCCCCCGCAGTGTGGAAAGGGGACAGGACAGGACCCCCCTGCATGCTCAGTGCCCCAAGGGAGCAGCCATGGTAGGCTGGGCAGGTCCACTCACCAAAGTCAATCCCTTCTGACACTTTGCCCCGAGCCACTGAGAGCAGAATGGCCCCACGGCCGTTCTCGCACGCCTAGGGAAGTGGAGGCAGTCACCTCAGCCCCTTCCCATGTACCTGTTGGCAGCTGGCATCCCCTGCCTGTCCCAGGCACCCACCTCCTGGTACTTCTCCAGAGCCACACTGGTCTCCGCCCCGTCCTGGGTCTCAATGAAGAGCAGCTTGTTCCTCTGGATGTTCTCAAGGATGCCCTGGGGTGACAGGGAGGTCAGGCCACAGGGCCACGCATCCTGTTTCAGCCCATTGCTGTGGCTTCCCATGGAGATCCCTCTCTGGGGCCCCAGCTGTCCAACCTCTTTGGCAGCCCAAAGTGGGAAACCGATCACCAACCAAGAAGTGGACGGCCTGAAACCGATCACCAACCAAGAAGTGGACGGCCTGCCCGTGATCCAGGCAGGACCAACCAGTGTTATCCTCAAAGTTCAGATCTGTCACTGCAATGCTAAGGGACTGAGGCAGAAGTCAGGCTGCCCAGGACAGGACAGGGGGTCCAGAGCATCAGTCAAGTTACCCATGCAGCTCAGTGAGAGAGACTCTTTATGAAAAACACACCTCCACCCTACCTCACCGAGTTCAGAAGATGAATCTAAAGTGCCTCCGAGCACAGTTAAGAACCTGCAGCCTCAAGACCCCAGGCCATCAAATCTCTATTTGTTTTCTTCAGTATTAGGGATCGACTGCGACAGCGGACCACACACTTGCTCTCCTGCTGAACTAAACTTAAGCCACACCCACAGTCTATAGTACCTGTTCAAACCTAGGCCTGCGAGTGGGCTCAATGCAGTCACAAGACAGAAGGCCAACAAGCCCTGTACCCCTGGGGGACCAGAACTCCCATGGCCTCATCCACACACTTAGGAGAGCTCCTGGACGGGAGTTCTGGTCCAACCGAACTCCCCAGAGACCCTGCCCCTCCCCCCACGGGCTCCAGGCCTGCTTAGTCTGCAGCATACGTGCCCCAGAGGTGGGGTGGGTGGCCCCTCTGGTGAAGGGAAGCACTGAAGACCCTGTAGGCTTCTGGTGGGAATGGGTGGGGTGCTGGTAGTACCACTGTCCTGTCCTGTCCTACGTGTCACCAGTGGAAACATGAGGACTAAAGCCCCACAGCAAGAGCAAAGCTGAGGGTTTGGGCAGCCATGGCTAGGTGTACCTACCTGCTCATACCAGGAGGCCACAGTGCTTTCCATGTATTGGTAGCTGGTAAAGAAGGCCACAATGCCATCAGGGACCACAGCAGACATCTCCAGCAGCAGGTTGCCATAGTTGCGGATTACAGCTAGGGAGAGGGGGATGGAGTGAATCCTCTCCTGGTGCCCACTGAGGCTACTCACCTCTATCCCAGACTCCTCCTCCCAAGCCTATTAGAGGGCTGTCTGCCACCCCTGAGGTTCATCAAGGCCATATGACAAGTCACAGTACAAGAAACCTGTAGAAGTGGCTGTGTTTCTTCAGGGCCTAATGTCCCAAGGGCCCTGTGCTATGTGTTGAGGCTCAGTAATGTGCCTGGTGGTGCAGGGACCCAGGGAAGCCCAACCCACAGTAGCCTGCTGAGGGTAGGAAGAAGGTCTGTGTTAGCCACAGAGGCTGGGGTCCCACCTGAGTCCTACCCCAACCAAGCCCACAGGTGACTCACCAATATCTTCCCTGGTCTCAAATTTGGAGCTGATGGCCACCTGGTCATTACCACGGCCAATGATCTGGAGGGTCAGAGTGAAGACGGTGTGACACACGTGACAGCCAAATGCCCCCTTTTTGGTGTCTCATGTAGCCCAGGCTGGCCTTTAGACTAGGAGCCTCACTGAGGCTACCCATCCTCCCAAGCCCATGAAGGCTGTGCCCTAACCTCTAAGTTCTGTGTAACCAAGGTGATCCTGAACTCCTGGTCCTTCTGCCCACTTCCCAAGATCACAGGCCGGCCTCACCACACCTGTATGTACTTCTGGGCGTGGACCCCAAGGCCTGCTGTGTGCTAGGCAAGCACTGTATGAAACAATGCCCAGGCTCAGGAAAGGCTTATGCAGACAGTGGATTAGATGACCCTAAGCCTATGGTTGCTTCTGCCTGGCCAAATGCCTGGAGCTCAGCCATGAGCTACTGGCCTACAGCCAGACAGCAACAAGCCCCAGGGACGGGACCTCTGTGTTTCTAAGCAAGGCTACACTCCAGCCTTAGGTAGTTCCAGAACACAGGTCATCACAGCATACACCCATTGGCAACCCTCCCCAGTCCACCATAACTGATGGTGGCCAGAGGGAATGTTCCTAAAAGCCCACAGCTTTAAAAACAGCCGCCTAACCCTGCTGCCGTAAGAGAAGGCATGCAGACAGGTTCGTCCTTCTGGCGTGGCCCTCCACACAGATGGTACTCTGCAAGCATGCAATCGGGCTACACACATTAAAAGTGTCTGATTCTGTGCCAGGCAGCACCCCAGTCACAGTTGGCTGTGTGGGGCACACGGACTCTGGGGCAAACATGCCTAGCACCTTGCCGGGCTCTAAACTCCAAGGCAGAGGTCAGGAGGTGAGAGGACACAGCTCTGCCCCAGGCTTCAGAGAGGCACATTACCCAAGTCACAGCCGATGACACACGGCAAACTCATCCTGACCAAGATGATGAGCAAACACCAGGCCTGCATTGCCCAGTGTATACTTCGCATGGGTGCCTAAGCACTATGGCCCGGGTTGCTGGGAAGAAGCCTCCCAGGCGCCACTGAGCCCCAGCTGAGCAGCTGCCCCCCACCTGTCTCACCCACTCACCATTGGGCAGAGGCAGACTCGGGCCAGCGTCATGGTGAAGGTTGCCATTGTGACAGGGTGGAAGTCCAGGATCTTGGGGTAGATGTCCAGTGGGGACAGTGTCTACAACAGACAGTGAGGAGTCCTCAGCAGGATGGGGCAGGGACCAGGACCCCACGGAGCAACAGTACAGAGCCCTTACCCCAGAGGTGATGATGACAGACTGGAAGCGTTCAAACACAGGCTTGATGGCCAAGGAGGCGTCCATACAACTGTGGGACAACACAGCAGTCACACAGGGCAGAAGGCAGGGCCAAGGCCTGTCCCATCCACATAGGCTAGCATCTCACCTGAAGTGCAGGATGGGGTTGGCAATGGTGGGGGTCCTGTCGTCAAAGGGCTCGATGATAATGGTAAAGCCTGGTAGGGAAGGAGGCTCATGAGCCTTGCTGTGGTCACCCCGGACGCTCACCATCCAAGTTCAGAACCAAGCACCAGAGTGCATGACAGCCGCAGCCTGCCCACTCCTCTGCACGGCCAGACCATGACTGGGCTGTGCCAATGCTCAGGTGTGGAAGCAGGGCGAGCCAGGGCTTCCCTGCAATTCCTGCAGGGAGGTCAAGACCACCCTTTCCCAGGTAGCTGTGCACCCCTGCCTCGCCCATCCCTGCTCCCCACAAAGCAGCCAGGAAGACACCGTGGAACCTCAAGTCCCTCCTCCCATAAACAGAAATGTGTCTGTGGACTCTGCGGTGCACCCTTGCTCCCAGCTGCCATGTCAGCTCCATCCCCCAGGGCCCACTTGGTCGTTTGAGTCCTTGCTCCAGAGGCACCCTGGGGGGCGGGGGTCAGTGCTACTGCTGCTCACAGCACTGCCACACTTCCTAGTATCTCCTTCTGGACTGATCTTTGCTCCTAGCCCCCAGGCTGTGTGTGGGGGGGGGGTGGATGGTGGAGCGTGGTTCTGGTAGTCCCTACTGTTTCCACAGGGCCAGGCCCTTTGTTGACTGAACAAATGATCACATTCACAGATTGTT